ATATATATAAAAGAGATATTCTTCCCACATTGTTCAGATATAAGATGACATACATCACTATATTTTTAACATATATGTAATTCGCATATCTCTCGTGCTTTATTAGACATGCCGTTCGTGATTAAAACTGTGTACCAATTCGTGACACATGAATAAGCTGATTTATAACATTGATATATAACATTGATTCACAAATCATTGTCGAGCGTAATATAATTTATTTAAGATTTTATATTATCTCCATTTTTTTACTCTTAATCCAAAAAGTTTTACTTTGGTTATCCTGCATTCGATACAATTTTTACAGCTATGCAAATAAAATAGCATGAAAGGGGTGAAGCTGCTTCAGCAGGGTTAATTTCGCGTCAGAAACGTTCTCAGAATTATTTTACACGCAATATATTATCGCGATAAGAGTGGAAAATATTAAATTAAATTTGTTAATTAAATCTGAAGGGGCACAGACGATTCCAAAGCGCACTGCATACTTTATTTTGTTTTTGCTCGACGCGTTAATCTTGCTGATGCGAATTTTACCTCATTATTACGATACCTATTGTGCAGCACAGAATGTTCATGTATCGGTGCACAGAATTTCGGCGTGAAAAAGAAAGAAAAAAAAACGGAGCCACTTCCTCTTTTCTCACCAATAGGGAAGGGAAGAGGGTCGTGCTGACAAAAAAAAAAAAAAAAAATTAAAGAAAATAAAAAAAGAAAAGAAAATTTTTTGTCCACACGAATCATGCAGTTTTATAAGCTTGTACATACATATGTTTGTTTGTCGGCCGTGTATTTGTCAGTGTATGCATTGCAGCATCATCGGCAAACCGACTTGTACAAGAATACGCTGAAGTACATGAACATGTGCTTCACGGGGATGTTTACTGTCGAGTGCATACTGAAGATCGCCGCATTCGGCGTGAAGGTAGGCTCCATATACTACCAACAATTTTCTCTCATCGAACTTCTCAATTTATTCCAAATAAAGCGAGATTCATAATTCGAAATTCTCGCCAAGTCGAGTAGCGCGAAAAATGGCTCCTCGTAATCGTTTCCTAAAATGAGAAGCCTGACAAATCTTCCATCATTGTCGGAATAATTAACAATTAGTCATTAGAAATGCAACACGTAAATAATTAATTAAAATTAAAATAACGTAACAATAAATATATTTTAAATGTATATTACATACATTAATTTATTAGAATAGAATAAAAAATACAAGAGATAATAAATTAGTATAATAAACATGTGATTATATAATAAAAAAAAAAAAAAAAAAAAAAAAAAAAAAATCGCGAAAGGGGAACGTATCACGAGGGTCAATTTTCGCGTCGCCCGGTAAGTGCCGCTTATTAGAAAGTAATTAGAGCGTTTCTTCGCGAGTACCGATGTAATAATACAAACGTCTCGAATATTCTCGGTACTCCGGAGACATATTCCGTATACTTTCTATTCTCGCGCGTGTACAAGTATATAGAATATACTATTTAGTGAACTTTCTGTGCGCAGGGCTGAACAAGCGCTAGATGCTGTCGGAGTAGTTGTAGCGTTTCCATTTCTCGATATACCTCGTACGAACATATAGATATGTATCTCGATAGAATTAGAATGGTATTTTTTTCGATGGTGCTCTTCTATGGATATAGCTGCAAGAACCTAGATAGAACTTCTTTTAATTACACGTGCTCTCGCTGTTTTGTCTTTGGGACCGAACCAGTAAGATGAACTCTACAAGTACTTTAGTATGCAGAAAACGCTCAGCTCTGTACACGTAATCGAGCTTCAGGGCAATTTGGGAAGATAGATTTAAAGAATTAAAATTTTCACTTTCATCTTCATTTGATTACGAATTTTTTATGCAAAATTTAGTGCTAATTATGCAAGAAAGTAGTTTTTTTATTAGTATTTTCGCCTCCACTTGCATCGCTTTTTAAATTTATATTCGTTTGATATTTATTATTTATTATGACTATTTATATATAAGCATTGATTTTTAAAAGATTTTGGGCGATTCTCTATTTAAAAGACATTGTAATTAAGGAGACGCAATTAATAATTATATAAGAATTTTGTAGATGCAAAATAACTTAGAATCAGATCTAAACATTTATTATAAAATGATATGTAAAAAGAAGCAATGATATATATATCTTCCCAAATTTTCTAAATCCATAATTACACTGAACACGACGGTAACGGGATCAAATTATTAATTGTAAATTCAATATTGCGGTTTTGATTTTTATAAACAACGTTGATTTGCATTTTTACGATACTAATTTACTTATTTATCTTATCCCGTTATCGTGATAGCTAATTACACTGACTTCATACAAAATACTATACAAATTTAAATTACGTTTGAATGTTTGTAAAATATATATATAAATATTCAATCGTAATGTTAAACTCTAGAGCGAGTTTATCTGCAATATTCTATATGTTATTGTATTTTTACATTATGTTTTAACGAAGCTTATAATGACAAAGCTGACAAGCACGCTCTTAGAGTCCGAATCAAAATGCAATTCACACAAACATTTACAATCAACAATTATACTACACATACATAGACGATTCATATGTCATACATCTGGCACTCACTGATACCTAAACACGACGAATCAAAAACACAGTTCTTACATCGGGTTATTTTCAGTTCGTCTTTCTCGCTCTTTCTCTCTGTCTGTCTATTTCCTCTCACTTTTCTCTCTGTCTCTCTTTCTATCTTTTTCTTTTTCTGTCTTCCTGTGTATTCTGTTTTCGCGCTCGTCGTCTTGATTTTTAAAGTACTTTCAAAACGGGCGGAAAATAAATCGAAGAGGAAGTCTCAAATATCGAAGATAGGTGTACAGAAAGGAAGCTCCGTTTTTTGACATCCCTTGCATGTTTTGCCCGCCGCCTTGCCTGCATCTGCACGCATCACTTGCACGGTCTGACATGTTTTTGATCCTCGCATGCATACATCACGATTATTATGACTGCGTGTTTTTGCCGGCCGGAAATAACGACAGTGGCGATGAAGTGACGAGAATGATGGTGATGATGATCATAACAATGATCTGTATGATAATCGTGACAAGATTAAAATCGAGGAGCAGCCGCGAAAGCGTTCCCGAGCACACACTCAGCACACATGGAATCAAACGTCGTATACACATCGATCGAGATTTACGTATACACGTACGAGTCTCTTGAAAAATCACCCTGTGAGAGATTGGTTAGATTTGCTTGGTAACGTGGAAGAAGAAATGCTTTTTCATTGAAAAATAAAGAGAAATTAAATTGAGAGTTGTTGCAAAATTAATGTAATTTAGAATAACAGTATTATTTTATTAAAAATGATAATTTTGTGTCTAAACAATTTTCTGAATGATGTGCCAGAAGAAACATAAATTTATTCGTATATATATCTTGATATGTAAAATATTATAAATACCATAAAAAATGTTTAATAAGACAAATCTCAAAAATAGCAGATAACGTAATTAAAGAAAATTTGCTTTTTCATTACAAATTTTTGAGATGCATTACTAAAATTAATAATAAAAATACAAACATTTAATAAGAATTTGAAGGAAAATTTTAAAGTAAAAAGATCAGTAATAAATTCAAGAAATATATTTTAGCTCACAAGAAAACATATTTCCTGATTTATTTTGCGCAAAGAAATGTTTCTTCTATAAATCCAATAGCAGTTTTCTCTGCTTGGACGAAAAAATCAAATACAGAGATTATATTTAATAGAGGATAAAGAGATATAGAAATATATACATATGTACATGTGATATATATCAAGGTGCACAACGGAATATATTAGAATCTGGGTTGTGTTACGTCTGTGTGTTGGGTGTATTTTGTAGTATCACAACGCGCCGCCAGTTTTATTGGACTTCTTGACCATCGTGAACTTGGTCGTCACCCTCCTTTTCCTCATTGAGTGCATCCTTAAACTCGTCGCCTTCGGATGCAAGGTATAAACAAGCCTCTTAAATCGCTCTAACTTCACCACTCTCACTCGATTTACACCGCAATTATACCACTGTAATTTCACTGAGACTGATATCACTCATCGGTTATCATTGATCGCGTGATTTTACCGGTCGGAGGATTCACGTGAAGAAAGTGGGGATCCCGAAAACTGGCGAGAGGAACGGAAGGGAACACACCGAGACATCGCAAAACTGCTTGTCGCGAATAAAATAAAATTATATTACAATTCAAAGTAAAATTTCTTGGTACGAGATTTCTACACAAATCTATATAGTTATTCAAGAAGTAGTAATTGCCAGAAAACAGGATTTCGCCATTTATGAGTTGAAAATAATGTGTTACTTCTTCTCAGAGATCTCTCTATTTTATCAAATTAACTTGATATAAATATTAAGATGCCGATAATTAATGTATTATTAAGGATAATATATATTTACTGAACGCTTCTTTTTTGCAATTAAACCAAAATTTTTAAACAATTAATTGCTCTAGAAGAACGAATAGATAATAAAAGTTTGATTTATTTATTTAATTATTTAATTTAAGTCGTTCTTTAAATAAAATTTTTGTAAAATGATCATCAAAAGAGATATCGCAGATTATAATACAAATTAAGAAGTTTAGTAAAAAAACGACGGTTAAATAAATTTTTGTCGAAGAGAAATCATCTCAAAGTCAGAGTCAAAATAAAAAAGTAAACTCTAACATGAATTTTATACAGACATATCTTGTATAAATTAAACAACTGATTCAATATGTGATATTGTTTTTTATGTATTACGTGATATCAAATGACGACTCCTTTTTTCTGGTTTAAGTAGAAAAATGTTGAATATTAAATTCGCGTGTCTCTATCTATCTCTTTCTCTCTCTCTCTCTCTAGTTTGCTTGCTATTACCGGCATGCTCCCGTAGATACTTCTCTAGAGGAGATCCCGTCACTTGTACTCCAGCCGATTATCGATCACCAAAGCGTATAACATGGGTAAACGCTTTAGAGAAAACTCACGCGAGAGCAGATCTCTTCGTCTTTGTGGATCTGCAACTCTTCTATAAGTATTTTAAGCTGAACGTCATAATCGATGTATAAACATTACTATTATTACAAATGTAAAAGTGGAAAAGTTGAAATTTGTCTTTTAAAGCAAAAATTAGTGTAAGAATAATATGATATATATTTTCAATTATTTAATTAGTTAAATTAATAAACAAATAATAGTATATTCAACTTAATAATTTTATTATAATAAATTACTTAATCACTTTTAACAGCAATTTTCTATGTCTGTGTAAAAATAAAGTAAAATTACGCGATAAAATCAGCGGAACATCTATTTAACCACGTAATTAAATAATATTGATAATTGATTGAATAAAAATAATTTTGTTCAAAAATTATTCTACGATACGAAGAGATTTGTTCAACGATCATTACAATATGTAGAAGCACCATTCACAGAAGCACACGTTACAGAGAGTTTCAATCATAGAAAATATTACATTCATGGGAGTGCTCGCAAACACAAACATGCACACAACACATGTACACAGGCACTTACATACACACATACACACTAAATAGCGTGATACATTCATAGAAGAAGCAGACTTGTACCATACTTTTCTTGTATTCTGGAATCGGAAGTCTTGTAGTTTCTTTTTTAGATGTAGCTACGCAAACATATCTCACAAACACTCTCGAGCTACGCCCAAGTTCGTTTAATAGATCACCGAGACATGTAAATGATTCGTCAAGATTACTTGCTTGCTGTGGATTTTTACGTAGGTTAAGACACGATGAAGACAAAAATAATTTTTAAAAAATCGAAAGGACACCAAAAATAATAGATTACTTGTTAATTATATGGGAATGCTTATATGTTATTAATTTTTAATTTCTAAGTTCTTATTCCTTTTATTTCTCTAAGCAATTACAGCGCAAGATTAATTGGAAAAAGCGCATTTGCAAAGTAAGCAACGTAATAATCTTAAGTGAAGTAAATCATTTTTAAAGATATATTTTTATGAAATATTAACACAAGAATTTACAGAGTGAGAAATACAGAGTTTTTAAAATTTATATTAAGTTTGTGTGTAAAAAAAAATTATTAAATTTTGAATTTTTCCTTGTAGGGTTTGCCTAATTTTCAATTGTTTCTCTTCATGGTGTCTTGGCTTTAATTCTGATTGCTCGTATACAGAATCGTACAGACTACAGATAATTAGAATTCTAATCTGCATCTATTGAGATAGAAAATGTGTCGGAATTGTTTAGCGAGCTTCGGGGTAGTACAATCAAATATCGAACGAAAGCGAACAAAGATTACTTTGCTAATCAATTCTTTCGACTGTTCCCGTGAACACAGAACTTCTTCAAGGACGCCTGGAACACCTTCGATTTCATCACGGTGATCGGTAGCATCGTGGATGCCCTTGTGATCGAGTTCGGGGTACGTAAAGCACCGTAAAAGTAGTCAAAAAGAGAGTATAAGTGTGTTAATCGCGTTCTAGCTATTATATAACCCGTAATAGAAATCTTCCAGGTATATGCACATATAATCGGGAACCTCCCGGGAAATTCGAGGCTATGCTATGATGGTTGTTTGCTTTGACGAAAAGTCATTCTAGTGAAGTCGCACAAAACATCAGCATTGATCCAATGATACAAATAAAGGTGGTAATAGTGGAAGCAAAGACGAAGTAGATGCATGAAACATTTTATATATTTGTATGTCTGTATAGGATATAATTCTGTAATGATGAAAAACTGTATTATGTTTTAAAATTTAGTGTTGCAAAGAGAATATCATTTGAACGTGTTCACAATGAATATTTAATTATTTTTGTAAGATTAAAAATTGAGGATTTGATAATTATATCTATCACAAAAAGAATTGAACGAGCAAAATTTCTTCTTGACAATATAATGTGAAAACGCACTGTGCCACCTTTCGAATTGTTTCAACATACTAGATTAATTCTCATGTTTGAAGCGAATTTATTTGAAATGCGCTTTTGATCGAAACAAACATCTATAATAGTGAGCCTTAATCATCGCGGCTGTGTTGCTTTATGTGTACCTTTACCTTTCGTTTAACCCTTTTGCTGCTTACTAGATTCGCCGTGCAACCATGTGACAAGCTAGCAGGTAAATTACGACAATCGAAGTATATCTCAAATACCTTTGTGTATCTTTTTAGCTTCGTACTGCATTCATACGCTAAATATATATACATCACACTATATTACATCGCTACATTTGCACAGTATAGTATAACAATAAGCTATCTACACATAAACATATGTCCTATACAAATCCTGTATTCATTCATAGGTACATCCCCCTTTTGTTATATATTGATATTCTGTGACTAGATCAATCTGTGATTAGATTAATCAATGTCAATTGTATAGTTTGGAAGCACATATCATATAGAATATTTATCTATTTTCTTCCAAGTCACACAATGGCATTGGTTATTTAAATTCCACTAACGTAGAAATTACGATCTAGTCAAACATATATATGTATATGAATAATTAAATTTTGCAAATCAGAGAAAAAATATAATAAATAAAGATGTTTTAAATATTTTTTATATTGCTCTCTACTTGTGCTTGAAAAATATTTTTGACAAAAATATGTTTTAGAAATGCAGGTAAGAGAATAGATAGAATTATTGTAAAGTGAGTATTGATCCTGATATTGAAAGGAGCTGCTTATGAAATTCTTCCACCATCAGTGTTCATTTGACAATCGTTATTATATCCTTATTGTAATTGCCAGAAGTTGAATAATCAAAAGTTCAATATTGGGGATGGAATAATGTCGCAATCTCGCATATTTCTGTAATAGGAGCTGCTTACGAGCGTGTCTAGTGATGGCCAGCTAAACGAAAAGAAGGTATAAAATTACTATACAATTTTTACCTTGACAATGTAAGTTGGAAGCAGATATTGCAAGTACAAAATTAATATCGAATATTATTCTCTCAACTCTAAATTTTATTTTTGTGTAGAGATCAAGCGTCAAATGTATATGTATAAGTCTATCTCTTTCTTTATAATTCCTTTCACCAGAAAAAAATTACAATTATTTCAAACATAGCTTTCTTTATACATTATTATCATTTCCCGATATGTTTTTAGCAAAAATTATGGTATACTTGGCGAATGATGAGATTGATATGATTTTATTTACAATTAATGCAAATAATTGTTTGCAGAGAAAAAGAAAAACTAGGTTCCGAAAATAGTATTTTATATTCTCTTGAGAATCTTCCTAAATCATTTTTAGATTAAGTCATTTTTGTCCCGTTTACTTATCCTATGCATGCACTTTTCTAAATACATAAACTGTTTGTACATTTCACACTAACAGTCTCGTACATTTTACAACATTGACATCACCAATCCAGATAGTTATTACATTATAGTTACACTACAGACTATACTTTAAAGGCATATGGATGCGGTGTCTAATTAATCTCGATTTCGAGTTATTAAATCGTTTTTGTGAAGCGAAAGTCGGACATGATTTTATTATTACAGCAAAAGGGTAATTACGTTTTCATTTACGTAATTACGTTAGAATTAAATAATTAAACTATCTCAATTATTAAACTAAAACATATAATTTTCCATCAATATATTTTCAATCATCAATATATTTTCAAAAAATCATCAATCTGCATTAGACTTATTGTTAGTCTAGCGGCTCTGACTTATAACATTGATATAAAAGTTGATTAAATAAAAATTCATATGAACGAAACTAATTTTCAATGAAATGCCAATTCAATTTACTGACAACAAAAATACAACTAGTTTATTGTTATGACAACTAGTCTATTATATTAAAAATAGTTCTTTCTGTATGATAATAATTTAATAATTATTAGAGTAATACATTTTAATTCTTCGTTTCCTCTTTTGGCAATGATCTTGCATTTTTAACACCCTTAGTCTCTCTTAAATTTTATCGAAATTACATTTTAAATGTCTTTATTTTTATATTATGCGAAAATATTGTTTCGCTCTAAAGCTTCGTTCGTGCATCGCTAAGGTAGAAAAAGGACACGCCGAAAGGGCTGATATCCTTTGACGCGTTATACGTAAACGCCGAAACGCTGCACGTTCGAAGCTCCGTTTTGGGACGCGATAAGAAGTCGGCATTTTTTGGGGTTAAGTGCAATTTTATCTGTCCCCTGCAGGAGAATTTCATCAATGTCGGCTTCCTGAGGCTCTTTCGCGCCGCCAGGCTGATCAAACTACTCAGGCAGGGTTACACGATACGAATTTTACTCTGGACCTTTGTACAATCCTTTAAAGTAAGCCCTGGTTTTCTTCATTGATTCTTTTCATTTCATGATCATATTGTGATCGTAATTATAAGCCTGATTTTTCAACACTTTTGATCATTATGAATTTAGGTAGTCATATTTTTTACCAATTTTTATAGCTATAATTATAAATCTGCTATCTTAAAGATAGCTGAACGATAATAAAAAGTTGTCTTCTTCCAGGCTCTGCCTTACGTTTGTCTCCTCATAGCAATGCTGTTCTTTATCTACGCCATCATCGGTATGCAGGTATGAATCTCCTTTGCTTGAATTCCTAAAAAAGTTCCTATAAATCTGTTCATAAAACGGGCTTTTAAGGGATGATGCACATAAGAGTGCAGGACTGGAGAGTAATATAATTAGTCAGGAAATTAATTAAAGTCATAATCATATTACTGTAACAGAGAGATTCATATAAATATGATATAACTGTCCTGTATGTTTTCTACATGAAAGGATAAAATAACACAGCACAGAATTATTTGATCTTATTTATCTCTTACATAAGAGACTTTCAAGTTCTTATACGTAAATAATTTTGTGAAATAATTTTTAATTAATTAAAAAATTTGTACAGTTGACCAATGATCTTCGGCATCTCTCTATGAAATAAGAAATTATCGCCGCAACGTAATTATCACCATATCGTTCTCTAAATATTTATTATTGCTTTGAAAAAACTAAAATCATATACATACAACGTGGTCCACCAAAAACAAAACAGGCGTGTTTTTTTGGCATTTAATCTCATTTATTTGAAAAACGGTTGGACAGATCAACTTTATTTGCGAGGGGGACATATTAATTGGCTATTTCTGTTTACTTAACTTCAACCCCAAAAGGGGGTTAATTTTACTCTAAAAATTTTAAATGGCTAGGGGTATCTAAAGACATAAAGCGAATTTATCGGACTTTCAAATGATATATTTTTAGACACCCCTTGCCATTTAAAATTTTTAGCGTAAAATTAATCCTCTTTTGGGGTTGAAATTAGATGAACGGAAATAGCCAATTAATATGTCCCCCTTGCAAATAAAATGGACTTATACAAGCGTTTTTTGAACAAATGAGGTTAAAAGCCAAAAAACACATTTATTTCGTTTTTGATGAGCCACTCTGTATAATAATCTCAACTTCGAATCGAAAGAGAAACGAAGTATCGAAATAATATTGAGATAGTTTTTGGCACGCGCAACCTTGCAGATTAGGAATTTTAAGTGACAGACAGCTGACAACCTGAAATTGTCCGTTGTCAGGTCTTTGGCAATATATTGAACGATCCGGAAACAGCGATCGATGATCACAACAACTTTCAATCCTTCTTCGCCGGTCTTATGTTGCTTTTTCGGTGAGTCGAGCAGCTAGATTGACTGCCGCTGCGACGGCAACGAATGAGATGACCTCCGGCCGATCAGCGGCTGACCCGACTGTCGTTTTCCTTTCGTACGAAGAAATAGATATAATGCGAACTAACATATCACTATTACTTTCTTTTATCATGACTTTAAATTAAAAAAAAAAATTAAATTTGCTTTATCTCTCTTTCTCTTTCTCTCTCCTAAAATTTATCTTCGTACGCGAAGAAAAAACACTTTTGGAGCACACCTGATCCGTCGTCGCGATCTTTCGCGATGCTTCGCACATGTATCGCAGAAGGATCCCTATGACATCACGAAAAACTAGCATGGAAGATTTATTTCTATATCGATAGTGTGTTACAGAGAAGAAAGAATGCGTCTTCGATGTTACATGATATTTTAATCTCGTTTATGACAGTAATTTACAATTATCTGTGGAAAAGTGGGCTTGTATACGAGATGTACCGATTATTACCTTTCTCTGATCCTTACGGTACGAGCAAAGCACCGTTAAAGATCTTGCGCGACGCAGATGTGGGAGACGTCGAATAGTAGAGCGAGAAGTAACGGAATATATGAAAGTATGGTCGTCGTAAATTATCTCTACGGTAGCGTATTGCTTTGTTGGCATGAGCTGTAACGAGAGTAAGCTGCTCGACGTGTTAATCTGTTGTGTGACACACCCCAATTAGTAAACAATCCTATAGAGAAGTTCCACATAGTCATGCCTGCGTTAGAGTTTTCAAGTTATGATTAAGACGGTGCTTGAGAGAATAAGTTGCTTAAAAATATGATTAATATTTTATAGTTAATATTAATATTGTAATATTTATCATAAACTTATTGAATATTCCGCTATCAAATTGTCGATGAAAATTTGATTACTTATTAAATTGTCAAAATTAAAAAGATTTTGGCAAATTAAGTTTTTGATTAATCATTTTATGGACATCAATAATTTAATCACTTATTATTACAAGACATAAGCATAAATGATTTATATCTCAATTCTCTCGAGCACACCGTCTAGTTATTAAAAAAAAAAGTATGTGAGAGGTTGTAGTTAGAAAGTACAATATATTGGATTACTATATAATACTCATTACATACACAAAACCGCCGAGCGATACAAAAATCAAAATAGTGGTCATCCAGCGAGAAGAAAAGCAGAGAACATTTCAATTATCTTTATTCAATTTTTTTATTACTTAAAAGAACCATATTTGGTGACGCAAATTTGTAATGCCGGTCGCCTTTTTGGCTGCTCTTTTTCTGTGGGTCTCAGGTATTCGGTAACATCGCGCTGGATGCTGGTGATGCTATTACCAAGCACAACAATTTCCAAAGCTTCATACAAGGTCTGATGCTGCTTTTTCGGTAAGTAAAGTCACACCAGAAGCATCTAGCTAACTGTTTAAGGGGGGAAACCAGTGTAACGACTGAAAAAAAGACTACTTTTAAGGATTTTTTTTTCTAGTAAATAATTGTTTTTTTTTTTTTCAAATCGCGTTATTAACATCACAAGGTACATAATTTGAACTAGCTTTTGTGAAATTTTCGTTAAAAAATATTTATATTTATAACTACAATAACCAATAGTTTGGGCCGCCCCAAAAAGAAACGGGCGCGCGCGTAGCGGGCCAACGAAAACTCCAAAACAAAAAGCCAGGATTTTCTTAAAATATAAGACAATAGCTTCAGTTGCACGTATGGATTAAAAAAAAAAATGATTTGTTACAAAATGGCGGACTTTTGAAAAAAAAATCCTAGATCGGTGAGACATTGACCTCTGGTTTTTAACATTACAAAAAAACAAATTATTCAATCGAAAATTCCATACGTGCAACTGAAACTATAGTTTTATATTTTAAGAAAATTCTTGTTTTTTTTTGGTTTTGGAGCTTTCGTTGCCCCGCTACGCGTGCGCCCGTTTTTTTTTTTAGGGTGGCTCACACTATTGGCTATTGTAGCTATAAATATTAATATTTTTTAACGAAAATTTCACAAAAGGTAGTTCAAATTATGTACTTTGTAATGTTAATAACGCGATTCGGAAAAAAACAATTATTTACCAGAAAAAAAATCCTTAAAAATAGCCTTTTTTTTAGCCGTTACATTGGTTTCCCCCCTTAACCATTCAACTTGGCCACGTGATTATGCGCGCGATTTGCGAAACGATCGAGTGAGCTTACACGCTCATCACGCTCACTTGCGGCAAGCTACTTATCACGATTTTTTGTTACGATTTGCAAAAGTATGATGCAGAAAACGATCTAAGTTTTCTTTCGGACAGCGGTGGGAAAATAGATTGATCTTTGAAGACGTTCACGTGACAAGGATCTAATATTAATTGAACCGTTTGTGTCAAAAGTAGTTTTTAATTTATGATTTCATAAATTTTGCAAAACTTTATCATAGCCTTGTTTGTATCAATCTGTTTATCTCAAGTGCGAAAAAAAATTCATTATAGACTCAACCTCTCAAATATAATATAAATAATTTACAATAAATATTAAATTCAATTTTCGAAAAATAGTTTATGCCATTGTCACGCTGAACGATCCAATTATCACGACGTCGTGAAGTCTTCCAATCGCTTAATCCGTATTATTTCCGGATGTATGTTCACAGCAGGCCTTTTCGCTTCGAACCACGTATTATTATAAAATTTAGCATTAAATTGAGCACAGAAGCAGAATCAGGCTAAACGACACAGTATATTCAGAGCAAACAGAATAATACACAGCAGCTTCATGTAGAAGTTGAGTTTGCCATCTTAAGTTCGCAGTTTCTAGATCATTTTTGATGTTGCATAAAGTGCCAGGTCTCGTGCATGACGCGCTTGCGAGAGAGATGGGCCTAATTTTTTGTTCCCCTTAGACTCGAAATAAAATCCAGTTAATTAAAATAGCATTAATGATAGCAATTTTAAAACAATTTCAACACGAGGAAAACATTAATAAAATTCTTATTTTTATATAGTTTTATATGTAAATATATCTCCACATCTATGTATGTATGTGTGTTTATTTAAAAACTGAGAAGGTTATAGCAAATGCTGCATTCAACGTACGCTGCAAAAGATGCAATGTTATAATTTGCCAGAGTATTGCATGAATTTTTGCAAGCTAATTTTTTTGTCATTGCAAAAAGATGCTGCATTAAAAATATAAATGTATGTTTCTTCATAGTATTTGAAGATAAATGTTCATGAGACAAATCCATCGGCGATTAAAAATGTTTTTTCTAATTTTCTAGCAAGACGAAGCGAGACAAATGATACAGTAAATTGTATCCAGAGAGATTGAAATCTTATAAAAATGTTTACCAAAATGCAATTTTTTTTATATTCTAAGGAACTGACATTGAGTTATCGCTCTGAATTAATAAAACAGAATTATTTAATAAAAATCAAATTTTAAAAATGGATTTGTACTCATAATCAATTGCATCTTAGGTACAATAAGTCACCATGATATTTCGCAGTAATCTCATGTTAAACACTCATATTGTTGAGTGTATTTAACTTTATTCAACTTAGAATTCAGAAAGGTTTGCATGCGACAATAAGCGCGGCTTTGACACAAGCGATGCACTAGATCGCTGAAGCGTATTCGCGATATTTCGTTTCAATCGACGTTAATCGCTATTGTGCTCAAGAAGCAATCTTCTCAGGTGCGCTACGGGTGAGGCCTGGCCGAACATCATGCTGGATTGCATAAAGGGCCGTGCCTGCGATGCGAAGGCCAACAAGACTGCGGAGGAGTCGGAAGATTGCGGCTCCAACATCGCCTACGCTTACTTCGTGTCCTTCATCTTCTTCTGCTCGTTTCTCATGCTGAATCTCTTTGTCGCCGTCATCATGGACAACTTCGATTATCTCACGCGGGACTCGTCGATCCTGGGTGCCCACCATCTCGACGAATTCGTGCGGATCTGGGCCGAGTACGATCCGAACGCCACCGGCAAGATTCACTATACGGAAATGTACGACATGCTGAAGAATATGGACCCGCCGTTGGGATTTGGCAATAAATGCCCGAATCGCCTCGCGTACAAGAAACTCATCAGAATGAATATGCCAGTGGACGATGACGGTAAAGTGAACTTTACCACCACACTGTTCGCTCTGATACGCGAAAACCTCAGCGTAAAGATGCGATGCGGTGAGTTTACTAGATTCTATGTGAGAGAAGAAATATAAATGCAGCGAAGTCATTATAAAACCCCAGATTATAAATGTTAAGATTGTCGTGTATATATTTATATTTTTCTATCTTTTATGTACAAAATAACCAAATATTTAAAAAAGCATTAATATTCTTAAAGAAAAAGATTATTCTCTTAGAAATCACGTCATAGAATATCTTAATGTCTTTTTAGAGACGCTACAAAATAATAATTTAAATATCGTATCAAAATTTTAACGCTATTGCTCTCTCGACAATTAATTACATATTGATTAATATAAAATATTAAATATATATAAATAATTCCGATTTTGCTCTTTGCGTCGTTCTAGCCGACGAAATGAATCAAGCTAATGAAGAACTGCGGGACACGATCAGAAGTATTTGGCCTCTGCAAGCGAAAAAAATGTTGGACCTTTTGATACCTAGGAACGAAGGTAAGATTTGCTCTTCTTTTTAAAGGTATATTACGTTATGCAACACATTTATGATGATCGCGTGATATCCTTCTTTCAGACTTGGGCAGAGACAAGCTCACCGTGGGTAAGATATACGTCTGTCTTCTGATAATCGAAAGTTGGAGATCGAAGTCAAAGCCTACCGAACAGGTGAGTCGAGCAAAATCTAAATATTTTTCGGATGAATGATTGCAGATTCTAAAGATACCTTCTTAAGTCTCTTTGAGATCCTTCAATTACGATTCTCTTATTTGAATCTCTCGCTTGGCTTTTCGTTGTTAAACAAATTATTTTAAAGCAAATTCAAGGTAAAAATTGATATATAAATAGTAATAAATATTATCAAAAGTATATATGTAAAATAAATATTTATCAAAAATCTCTTTCTTTCTTGTGTGCGTTTTATAAACTTTTGCTATGGAAAAAATAAATTAGAAAATCGGAATTGGAGATTTCGATTGAGAATGGAGTTGGAATGAATGTGTTTGTCGTTGGTTTCTTCGTGATAAGACATCATACACGCGAGTGAAATCTTGAATAGAGAATTTTCTGAAATTTTATGTAATTTTCATAACTCGAACGAAGATCTTAGTACCGTCACGAAACTCTTTCTTGATTATTATAGAGATATTTTTGATAGATAGAGACATTCGATTAATTTACAGATTTATCAAACCACACATATGAATCATAGCTTCGATTAAGGGATAACTTTAAATATATACAGGATTTTCTTAAAATATAAGACAATAGCTTCAGTTGCACGTATGGATTAAAAAAAAAAATGATTTGTTACAAAATGGCGGACTTTTGAAAAAAAAATCCTAGATCGGTGAGACATTGACCTCTGGTTTTTAACATTACAAAAAAACAAATTATTCAATCGAAAATTCCATACGTGCAACTGAAGCTATTGTTTTATATTTTAAGAAAATCCTTGTTTTTTTTGTTTTGGAGCTTTCGTTGCCCCGCTACGCGTGCGCCCGTTTTTTTTTTTAGGGTGGCTCACACTATTGGCTATTGTAGCTATAAATATTAATATTTTTTAACGAAAATTTCACAAAAGGTAGTTCAAATTATGTACTTTGTAATGTTAATAACGCGATTCGGAAAAAAACAATTATTTACCAGAAAAAAAATCCTTAAAAATAGCCTTTTTTTTAGCCGTTACATTGGTTTCCCCCCTTAACCATTCAACTTGGCCACGTGATTATGCGCGCGATTTGCGAAACGATCGAGTGAGCTTACACGCTCATCACGCTCACTTGCGGCAAGCTACTTATCACGATTTTTTGTTACGATTTGCAAAAGTATGATGCAGAAAACGATCTAAGTTTTCTTTCGGACAGCGGTGGGAAAATAGATTGATCTTTGAAGACGTTCACGTGACAAGGATCTAATATTAATTGAACCGTTTGTGTCAAAAGTAGTTTTTAATTTATGATTTCATAAATTTTGCAAAACTTTATCATAGCCTTGTTTGTATCAATCTGTTTATCTCAAGTGCGAAAAAAAATTCATTATAGACTCAACCTCTCAAATATAATATAAATAATTTACAATAAATATTAAATTCAATTTTCGAAAAATAGTTTATGCCATTGTCACGCTGAACGATCCAATTATCACGACGTCGTGAAGTCTTCCAATCGCTTAATCCGTATTATTTCCGGATGTATGTTCACAGCAGGCCTTTTCGCTTCGAACCACGTATTATTATAAAATTTAGCATTAAATTGAGCACAGAAGCAGAATCAGGCTAAACGACACAGTATATTCAGAGCAAACAGAATAATACACAGCAGCTTCATGTAGAAGTTGAGTTTGCCATCTTAAGTTCGCAGTTTCTAGATCATCTTTGATGTTGCATAAAGTGCCAGGTCTCGTGCATGACGCGCTTGCGAGAGAGATGGGCCTAATTTTTTGTTCCCCTTAGACTCGAAATAAAATCCAGTTAATTAAAATAGCATTAATGATAGCAATTTTAAAACAATTTCAACACGAGGAAAACATTAATAAAATTCTTATTTTTATATAGTTTTATATGTAAATATATCTCCACATCTATGTATGTATGTGTGTTTATTTAAAAACTGAGAAGGTTATAGCAAATGCTGCATTCAACGTACGCTGCAAAAGATGCAATGTTATAATTTGCCAGAGTATTGCATGAATTTTTGCAAGCTAATTTTTTTGTCATTGCAAAAAGATGCTGCATTAAAAATATAAATGTATGTTTCTTCATAGTATTTGAAGATAAATGTTCATGAGACAAATCCATCGGCGATTAAAAATGTTTTTTCTAATTTTCTAGCAAGACGAAGCGAGACAAATGATACAGTAAATTGTATCCAGAGAGATTGAAATCTTATAAAAATGTTTACCAAAATGCAATTTTTTTTATATTCTAAGGAACTGACATTGAGTTATCGCTCTGAATTAATAAAACAGAATTATTTAATAAAAATCAAATTTTAAAAATGGATTTGTACTCATAATCAATTGCATCTTAGGTACAATAAGTCACCATGATATTTCGCAGTAATCTCATGTTAAACACTCATATTGTTGAGTGTATTTAACTTTATTCAACTTAGAATTCAGAAAGGTTTGCATGCGACAATAAGCGCGGCTTTGACACAAGCGATGCACTAGATCGCTGAAGCGTATTCGCGATATTTCGTTTCAATCGACGTTAATCGCTATTGTGCTCAAGAAGCAATCTTCTCAGGTGCGCTACGGGTGAGGCCTGGCCGAACATCATGCTGGATTGCATAAAGGGCCGTGCCTGCGATGCGAAGGCCAACAAGACTGCGGAGGAGTCGGAAGATTGCGGCTCCAACATCGCCTACGCTTACTTCGTGTCCTTCATCTTCTTCTGCTCGTTTCTCATGCTGAATCTCTTTGTCGCCGTCATCATGGACAACTTCGATTATCTCACGCGGGACTCGTCGATCCTGGGTGCCCACCATCTCGACGAATTCGTGCGGATCTGGGCCGAGTACGATCCGAACGCCACCGGCAAGATTCACTATACGGAAATGTACGACATGCTGAAGAATATGGACCCGCCGTTGGGATTTGGCAATAAATGCCCGAATCGCCTCGCGTACAAGAAACTCATCAGAATGAATATGCCAGTGGACGATGACGGTAAAGTGAACTTTACCACCACACTGTTCGCTCTGATACGCGAAAACCTCAGCGTAAAGATGCGATGCGGTGAGTTTACTAGATTCTATGTGAGAGAAGAAATATAAATGCAGCGAAGTCATTATAAAACCCCAGATTATAAATGTTAAGATTGTCGTGTATATATTTATATTTTTCTATCTTTTATGTACAAAATAACCAAATATTTAAAAAAGCATTAATATTCTTAAAGAAAAAGATTATTCTCTTAGAAATCACGTCATAGAATATCTTAATGTCTTTTTAGAGACGCTACAAAATAATAATTTAAATATCGTATCAAAATTTTAACGCTATTGCTCTCTCGACAATTAATTACATATTGATTAATATAAAATATTAAATATATATAAATAATTCCGATTTTGCTCTTTGCGTCGTTCTAGCCGACGAAATGAATCAAGCTAATGAAGAACTGCGGGACACGATCAGAAGTATTTGGCCTCTGCAAGCGAAAAAAATGTTGGACCTTTTGATACCTAGGAACGAAGGTAAGATTTGCTCTTCTTTTTAAAGGTATATTACGTTATGCAACACATTTATGATGATCGCGTGATATCCTTCTTTCAGACTTGGGCAGAGACAAGCTCACCGTGGGTAAGATATACGTCTGTCTTCTGATAATCGAAAGTTGGAGATCGAAGTCAAAGCCTACCGAACAGGTGAGTCGAGCAAAATCTAAATATTTTTCGGATGAATGATTGCAGATTCTAAAGATACCTTCTTAAGTCTCTTTGAAATCCTTCAATTACGATTCTCTTATTTGAATCTCTCGCTTGGCTTTTCGTTGTTAAACAAATTATTTTAAAGCAAATTCAAGGTAAAAATTGATATATAAATAGTAATAAATATTATCAAAAGTATATATGTAAAATAAATATTTATCAAAAATCTCTTTCTTTCTTGTGTGCGTTTTATAAACTTTTGCTATGGAAAAAATAAATTAGAAAATCGGAATTGGAGATTTCGATTGAGAATGGAGTTGGAATGAATGTGTTTGTCGTTGGTTTCTTCGTGATAAGACATCATACACGCGAGTGAAATCTTGAATAGAGAATTTTCTGAAATTTTATGTAATTTTCATAACTCGAACGAAGATCTTAGTACCGTCACGAAACTCTTTCTTGATTATTATAGAGATATTTTTGATAGATAGAGACATTCGATTAATTTACAGATTTATCAAACCACACATATGAATCATAGCTTCGATTAAGGGATAACTTTAAATATATAAAATAATAAATGTATCTTTCCATCTGTACTTTTATTTGATTTAACGGGACAATAAGTCAAACTGTTTAGTTGATAACATAAAAGAGATGCAATCTCTGTCTATTTATTTAAATTAAATATGTTAATGTGTATAGAAATAGTTGGATGTAATTTTACTCGAACATTATAATTTAAAATTTGTGCAAGTAATTAATATAGATATCACCCACCGTCGGTCTATTAATTGCCGTTAATTTATAAACAATATGCTAATATAAATCATTATGTAAAACTACATCGATGTTAGATTAAAAATTAAACTCATCTCTATCAAAAATTTAATTCTTTAACAGCAATTGATGGACTGATCGAATAGTAACATTTATCTATCATAGATAGCTCTGAAACTTCTGAATGAATTTCAGTTTAGACTGTTAGATAACAAGACACGATCTTACTACTTTTTTTATTGAAGACTGGAACAAAAAATAATCATAAATTTTTTTTTTAGAAAATTTGAATAATTACTGATACTTAATGTATCCATCAAACTATTTTATCATAAGTATCCGATCCGAAGGATATTCACGTAACTTTCAATCATCTTCTTGTATCTTTTCTCTTTATTTTCCAGAACGATAACGATCTTATCGATAACGATAATGCTGGGCAAAGTCCTGCAGCCCAGGCGGTAGTACTTACTTTTTCTCTTACTTATTATCTTCTCTTAAAATACACTGTTTCATTTTTTTGGGCTGTATGTTTATGTTCGAATTCTAATGACACTTGTCCGTTTTGTGTTAAATGCGTACTGCAAAAGTATTCTCGCTCTTTTTATCAATTTTCACTCTAACATTTTCAGAAACAAATAAATAATATTGCGTAAGAGAAAGAGAGAGCGAATCTTTTGCAGCAGACGCTTTATTTTTTTGTAAAATAACTCTCTTTACAATCAAAATTTTTCTACTTTATTCTTCATTCATATTATCCAGAGGCACACTATGCATGCAGGAAGGATGCATCGTATATAAGGTGTCCTACGTAACGCGATTTACGTCTCAAAAATGTATTAAATACAGAAAAAACATTAAAACAATAGAAAAGTAATTTAATTTTTTTTGACAACTATTTTATACTATTTTCTGATGTAATATTGCTTTCTGTTTTTGACATTTAAACGTATTAGAGACAGAAATTTTCATGCGCAAAACACCTTATATAATACAATCTGTAAATTAAAATTTTTTTATTTCTGGTTATATACAACAAGACTCTCGTTGTGCCTTTGGTACGTTTTTTTCTATAATTAATATTCGGCACACAATCTTTCTTCTCACTCGTCACACGTGTACAATTTTAATCTATCTTTCGTTTGTGTAAAGTAGCCTTTTATTTGTCACTAAAATGATCACACTACATACACACATGGACGTAACGGAACAACCATTATTATGTAAATATAATAATATATCATCTAATATAAAAATAAATTTAATTAATATTGCGCATGCAAATGTAAAATTATATAAATTTTATTCTTTAATTTCTTCTTTCAACTTTAACGTGAATATCATTTCGCAAATTCTAGATGTAAGACTGTGTTATATAATTGAGATTAATAAATACTTAAAATTAGTGGAGAAAGACATCACGTAATCAGACTTTGAAATTAAAGAAAATACATCTTTATATATTTTAAAACGTAAAGTTGCAAAATTTAATCTTTTTCTCTTTTTTTGAGAGAGAGAGAAAGGATTCAAAATATTATAAGTGAAGACGGAAAACATATTTAACCAAAAAAAAGCGAAAAAATGATGGTCGTTCCACGATAAAATAACATGGCAATACACGTTATCTTACTTAGGCACTTATTATGTTAGAAACGTAATATAATATTTACTATAGATCTCTTTAATCAGGCTTCTCTTATATATGAATTAGTGTCTAGATATTTAGCCGCCTTTTTGCGGAGAGGATTTTCCTTTTTCTAATCGCACGTTTCCTCTTAACAAACTAGTTTAGGATAACATCGAAGAATAGCTCTCACTTGTGATCTATATATCACAAAGGGAAGACAATCCATCTTTTCACTATCTGATTTTTGGCGTGGTCCCCCATGCGAGGTCCCCTTCCCTCCTACCCTAGTGTGATATATACGATTGTAAAAGATTGTCAGAGTTGTTTTAGTCGTCGTGTTGTTGCCGACACGTGAGTAACACGTGGCTACGTACGCACGTGTACGCACGTGTAGATATATCGGCTCTTTGTCTTACCGGCAATACGATATAGCTGTGTGTAAGTAAATCACCTCCTAGAGCTCCGTTTCTCGTGCCTATTTAGAGCGAAAAGTAGTAAAAGATGAGCCGATTGATTATCGAGCGTATATATTATATATAGTTCGCCTTTTGCCTCAATCTTTACGCGACAATTGCCTCTCTCTCTTTTAGATATATACACTCTTTTCTTGCCAAGCAAGCCTTTTCTCGATTAATTGAACATATTATAAACAGATGATCTTAGATCATGACGTAGAACGTTCCTTTTCATTCTGCCGAACTGTCATTTTGCTCGCGAGCATTTAATGAATTTTTTTCTCCTTTATTTAGTTTGATGCGAACCTTTCAAAGTAGTAAAAATTGGAGTTAAATTACTCTAAGCGATTTAACTTTGCGCTCATTGTAAGCTCAAGTGATTTAAATCCTCAGATAAATAAAAGATAAGGCTACAAAAATTTTCTAATAATAAAAATTTATCAACTATTACAAAATTATTAAAGAAATTAAGTAAGTACTTATTATTTGAAAATTATTATTATTATTTTTATTATTAGGAAATCATTGCATTGTTCATCATTTATACGAGGATATCGATCATCTCGCTTGATCCTTAATAAGAAAATAGATTCGAGGATCATCTAATATCTAAGCAAGTATCAATATCAACTCAGATATAACGATAATTTGAAACTTAAAATTGTGGTTATATAATTGTTTTTTTAGAAATATATTAAATAATCCTAAGAAATCTTTTTCTTTTATCCGATGCAAAGTTAATGCAGCGAAACTGATGATGATGATTCTGCTAGCTAATGCTGATCCTTATTTTCTTCTTTCTTACGAGTTTAATATTGCAATAGTGTAGAGAAGATTATAGGCATTTCTTTTTTAACCAGCAAATTACAACAGTAGACTCGTAGTCTTGCCCAACTTATCTGATCGCTTTCTACTAGAAAACAATTTTCCGCTTTTAACCAGAACAATTCTCTGCTCTTTCAATTACACGTTACATTATTTAATACTCTCTATAACGTGTACACGCACGTTTTAACGTATTGACACATTTTGATATACAAGATAAATTAATCTTAACAATTTATAATATAATAAACCAAATAGTTTTTATGGGTCGATATTTTTTTTTAATTCGGCATAAATAAACTACTTTGAATTAATCTGTAATCAAATTGCGTTCTCAAGATGTTTACAAAGAAGATAAGAAGTAACGATATTGATAATCATTTTCTCTCGTGACAAGCAATTTGTAGCTCGATAGTTGAAAAAAAATTTATTCACATCTATTGCATTTTTTAAGTGTCTATCGATAGATACAGCTCCCGTTTTATAGATTTAGTAAGCACTTAACAATTCACCGACGTATAAAAGATGTCCCAAAAGTGATGGTTGTTTTAACAGCATTAACTTTTTTTGTCGATAAAAGATTTTTCAAATTTTTATAAAATATCTGAAAAGGACGAAAAAAGAGACATAATTGTAACGTTTTAGAATCTTATGTACTAATGATTTTGGGATGTCTCATAGAGCGGCATGTTCCAGATTCCTTAACCCTGGAATATACCTTTTATTCAAGCCCGTTTCTTGCATACCAAGCAGCAGAATTTCGATTTTGCTCACGATTATTTGGCATATTTGTATGGTCTTTGTGGAGTGAACTGTTCGTGTTCTACCTTGCATATATAAATTGTTTGCAATAATTTATAGCACCGATGATATAGCACGTTCCTGAGACTAGTGACGCGCTCCTTAGTTACGGCCGTTCGGCGCTGCGTTGCTAAGGAGCGAGCAGTAAGAGGGGGAACCGTAGGCGTGAGTCAAGAAATCCGGCCGAAAGTTGCATCTAAATCCCAGCACTGTAGTATATGATGAGAAATTTTTTCTATTTATAATTATTATAACAGAGAGAAAAATAATTCACAGCTCTGGTAGAACATCGAGACTTCACCCGTTTTGTGCATGCTTACTGATAATTGCATTTTTGCAGTACTGTTACAATTTCTTAAACGATTAATCGCGTCTATTTACTAACACATTTGTATTCACTTGTAACATTTTTGTACTCGCAAGGGAGAAAAGGGGAATTAATTTTTTTTTGTATATAAATTACATAATTTTGATCAACATATACAGGCTTTGCGATGCAATGCGTTTTTATAAAAAATTGCCCCGCTGTAATACTGTTTACGCTACTATTTTTGCAATTTTTCTTATCACACATACGTTCTCTCGAGCGTATTCAGTAGTCCGAGATGAAAAAAAGTCCGCCGTATAAGACCGACACAAATAAACGCACTATCACGACATGCCTTTTTTTCTAGCATGGCCGCCTCTTTACTCTGAAAATTCTTTCTCACCGTTTTTACACTATTAATTCTCGACTTTGAATGCATCCGATCTTTATAAGCGTCTCGCATTCTACCACAATTTTTTGAGAGACCATCGACGAGAGGTAACGCTAAAAGAAAAGCCTGTATGTGCCTGTACATATATAGTTTACTTATATGCGGAGGAAACAAAAAAAAAACATGGGAAGATAAAAGCGCAAAAAAAAAAAAAGAAAAAAGAAATAGTCGATCGAACAACGAGATCGCTGTCAATCAGCTCTGATAGCTGGTATGCTTTCGCACGTTTCGCAATTTAGCAGTCGGCCTTCTTCAACTGCCTGCTGGACATTTCGGCGGTAAATCACATCGGAAATAATCACGGAGCCGGAAGTAGGGCGAACAGTCTCGAACCGGTGGTGGGACCGGCCACGGATGTGAAGCCAGACCGACTTAAAGATCACAGAGATGAGGAGGAAGGGGCTCTTGGCGTCCTCGCAGCCGCCGCGCACAGACGTCAGCGTAGCATCAGGTGCGTATTAAGTTTTTTAATAAAATGATATTTTAATAAAATTTATTTATTTGCTAAAAACCATTTCAAAAGAATTATTTTTACATAAACATAGAGAGAAAAAATAATTTAGATATTTTTAGGAAATGTTTAATGCTTTTACAGCTTTTTAAGATCGAGGCAAAATTATTGAACAGATTGATTTATTATCCAATTTACATATATTAATATATTTGAAATGCAAACTTAATTACCAAATTTAATCAATAGACGCAAATCTGAGCACAATATTTTAACGATTTTATATATTGTGTGTATAATAAAATATATATACTATTATATACATATATGTGTGTGTTTTTCTAATTGTTACGAGAATGACGGTTGTTTTTATTTCAGAAATAAAAAGGTGAACTGGAAGATGTCTCGCCAATACGATATACTAGGCAGCAGCGGAGAGAGTAGCCAGGGAGGGGGTGGGTCTGGGGTTGTACTCGTAGTTAATGGCGAGGATCGCGCCCCCGAGCTAGAGCCATTGCTGGCCGAGGTGTCCTCCCAGCGGGATGATCAAAACAACTACTACCATCACCATCACGACCAATACTACTACGATACCGACAATGATCAATACTATGACCACCACCAATACTACCACCACCACCATCACCATCATGATCATCATGACCACCGACCACCCTCGTACTACCAACACCAGAACACCTACGTACCTCGCTCCTCGATCCGTTACCACAAGGTGTCGGCTCGATCCAAACTCGAAAAAAAAACTCGATTTCCCTCGATTTTTGAAAGTGTCCTTCCCACCCTTTGACCCCACCGGAAGTAAATTGCGATAGAGAGCCGGAAAAATCCGAATCGCGATCTAATTGATAATCGTGTATAAAATATGTTTAAGCTATGTTTCGTAGCAATTGCAAGATGTTTCTGAATTAAAAAAAAACTCTTTTGACATTACTCTTCTTGAAATATTTATTTCAAGATTTCACAAATAATTTTACGTTTTCATCAGAAAATTGATAAATATAATAATGTTTTATTCAATTATAAAAATATAAGATTACCAATCTGTATTTGATAAATTAAAAAAGTTTATATAACATAATTATATTAATACATTTCTATTCTTAAAAATTTCCAAAATATTCTTGTCGATACCAATATATTTATTGTTAATAAAAAGAATTTTTATTTGTTTAATACTGCAAAAAAATTTCAAAAACTTGTCGACAAAAATTTATCAAAATTTAGGAACATCCTGCAAATAAATGACGTAGATCGTTCTATTGTACCTAAAGACAATTCTAGATTAGGATATTATCTCCTATCGCGAATTATTCTATTAGATTGGTCCAAACTAGGATGCTTAGTATTAATTGTGTCACCTAAAGTAATTTTTAGAGGATGTGACTTTCTTCCAGAAAAAATTCTTGATAAGATCTAGATGTGAGTAAAACGCTTTTTTAGAGAGAGATAAAATTATATTAGAACAAAATTAGATTTCAGAAAAACTTTTAAATTTCCTCTAGATAAATTGCAAATATCTGTGTTAAGATTAGATTAGGACGTCTTAGATAAGTCGATCGACATTCTCCACTGACCCCAATTTGTGATTTTTACGATCCTTAAAAAATAATTATTTAAAAGATACTCGCGGATCGAAAAGTATTGCGCGTGATGTCGTGATCCTTGGCGTTCAAGATGGATTCGCAGTGAAATGAGACCGTCAGGGTCAGACAAATCGCGCTTTTCTATACTTTTGCCACGAAGCCGAGAAAAAAATTGTCGAATCGATCTTGAGCCCGTTGAGTGTGTTAGTGTTCCTGTAAATAATACGACACCTAGAAACACACACTCTAGCACAAACGTCACATAGAAGAATAGCCATCCGAACGTTCTTTTAGTGACTGCTCGTGTCGATGCATAGAACAGTTTCCACCCCCTTGTCCCTTGCTGCTTTCGGCTTTAGGGTTATCGTTGGAGCAACGGAGCAGTCAATACGATCTCACGCGACTGCCTCGTTCTCCTCCGTATGTCGTTTATCTCTTGATTCTTTCGTATCCACGTCCCGGTAAGTAAGACACACCCGTGAAGCAAGTCTCCTGTCTCGAAGGTAGTGGATATCTTCCTCTCTTCAATCGAGCGATCGGAATTTTTATCGACAAGCATGTGCATGAACGAGACTTTTCTAATTGCATGCCATTTAACACACACGTATACTTTGTGTATGTATCTTTGTGTGTGTAAACTAATCTTTCTTCCGCCTTATCAATTTCTCTTATTTTCTGCGAAGCTAAATCTATCTTTGTTAGTGACAAAAACGTACGCTGAAAACTAAAGCAGATCGCACGTCAAATCAAGACTATTGTTTCTTTTCACTTATTTTTTTTCGTATAAAATTAAATGATGTAATTCCGATAGAGCAAGATACGATATCGCCTAAATAAAAAATTAATAGCTAGCACAAAATTATCTATTACTGCTAATTAACTGTTACTTATTTTGATCGATCTTAACGGCTCATATATTTCAAACAAGTAGTTATGATTCCAAAATTTAATTAACGATAAATCTAATATTCCGAAAGAGAGAGCTGGATTCGAACGTGCGTTTGCTTTCAAATTCCGGAAACGAAAGGCGTCTCGAATTACGATAGCTTCTTGTTCGGAGCGCGCGCGAATCGACAGCGCGATATTGCTAAAGACAAAGAACCGGCAACACCCCGACTACCCCTTCGATTCCCCTAACCCGGTTTTGAACTATACAAGCAAATTACTAAGTCGAAAGTCTATTTTCGTTTAGGAGCTGCAGGACGTCGTACCGTCCGATTCACGTGCCGGTAGCCTCGAGAGTCTCACACATCCTGGCGACAGAGTCCCTCGTCAGCATCATCCCTCAGCGCCTCCCCCTAGGCGTTCACGATCACCAAGTATAAGGTATTGGATCTAAGATATAAGCACAAAAGTTTCGAAAAATTACGTTGTCTCGGATGCGAATTAATTGACATATGTGAATGCAAAGAATTACTATTCCACTGTAGCGTGTTTCTTATAATATTAGTTATAGTTAATAATAGACCAATAATAATTTATAATTGTTGAAAGGAATGAGAAAAACCTAATGCACTTTAAATTATAAAATTAAATAAAATTAAAAAGAGAACAATATATAGATTCTAATAAAATATATTTTAAGGGAATAAAAATAAAAATTTCTATTTAAACTTAAAAGTGGAACTCAAAGACATTGATATCTTCGATATTATTATAATTTTTGATTATTACAACATCACTCAACAGTTATGACTCATTCAACGTTACTATTTGCAGAAGACACTCGCCAATAATGCCTAGATCGCCATCGCCAAGGCGACAAGGCCGATACGACCATCACGGTCATTACCACGAAGGACCAGGGTTTAGCGACACCGTTAGCAACGTCGTCGAGATACAAAGGCACACTCATCATCCCCACGCGTCACAATATAATCATCGGCATAGGATACGAGGTACGACGTACCGGCGATAATTCCGACCAGCGAAAGACCACGACGGTGCAACGATAAGTCTTTTTCACGAAACCAGGACCGCGAACTCTGTTTCGTGTCGATCATCTCCAACCGGTTTCTCTCTATTTCTTATATAATATAAATTATAAATATTGTAAACTGTATAATTGTTGGCAATCAATGAAAGCAACGAAAGAGAGTTCGTGGTCACGGTTTATAAGAACATGAATGTTGCTATAAGTGGTTTTACTCGTAAGAGGCAGGAAAGCTCTGTGTGATACTCGATGTAATACTTTTCTTCGTTTTGTTCTGTTATGCGCCTACACAGACTATTACGACAACTGCGAATATTACGACGATGGTAATTTCTTTCGCAACTCTCCTCTTCTTCATTCCCATGTCCACGGTGCAGTTATAATGTTACTACATATAATTAATACGATCGTTTGGCTTTCACCGTTTCTTCGTTCCTGTTTGCGATGATACACGCAAATATACGCATACACATACACATACACATATACGCGCGTGCAATAAACATCACCGAACACAAATCAACACAGTAGACATTTTCAGACAACCGATGTGTACAACACTAATAGCACAATCAATGTTTCATATATTTACATCGAAAGTGTTTCTCTTCTTGTTTGCCACTCGATGCTTTTTATAATAGATATGTTGTCGAGATTATCAATTAGCTGTATTTATTAAGAAGAAATTAACGTTGTAACAGTTTATATTAGGTATATAGTTATATCTCGCATTTTGTGTTAACATATTTTCATAATGTGTTTAGTTTTCAAGTATAATCCTCGAATACAATCCTTATTTTATAGACGGTTGACGTTGTGCAATAGTTCGAAAGATGCAACATGCACATGCAACTTAGTTTCGATTGCACCTCTTTATTTTATTTAGCACGGTCAATTAATTCGTTTTTCAAATAATTATATGACGTAGAATGAAATCTTTGAGCACAGTTTAATTTGTGTTTAGAAAAGAATTATAGAAAGTGTTAGAGAATTTTGAAAAATAATTTTATTGAAACTGTTGCGACACTATTGATGCACTGATAGCGATTTAGTATCATAGAATGCGCATGTTACATTAGATGCCTTTTCTGAATTTAAAACACATTAATTATTAGAACACTGACACGAGTATGCACTATCGATTCGAATTATCTCACGAACACGAAACACTATAAGCATGTTGATCCGATAATCCTTTTTTTTTCTCTTTTTCTCTAACGGATTTTGTAGTTTCAAAAATAATTAGCATATATTTCTATTTGAGGTATTTTTTTATTAAATTCCAAAAATTAAATTACGAGTTGTAATAATTAATTTTTCAAAATGTAGAAATCGAGAAAATTATATAAATGTATTATTAAATTGATTTTTCGTTACTACATTAGTTCAATACATATATAGTCATCATTCTTCTTTAAAAAAATAATTGACAATTCTTTAAAACCAATTCTAAAATTGATGTTAATAGAATTATATTGGTATCATTGGTCTGTCAGTCCTGAATCCTTTCCGACGATCGAGCTCTTTAACTTTTCGTACCGAGACCGAACGATCGAACCTTTGCTCTATCATAATTTTATTAATTAAATAATCAATAAGCAATCACAGTAGCACTGAAAGCTGTTCACGAACCCTAATGGCCCTATCGGCCCTTGTCACGCTTTTGATTTACTTGTCGAGCAATTATCACCGAAAAAATCTCCCCGCAATAATCGTGTCCCCGGTACGCGTGGAACTTAGACCGGAAGTCTTTAACGGATATGTTCATCAGGTCCATGGAGTGCCTCGACGAGCCCGGCAAGATCGCCGAGCCCGGTTCACCGGATCGAGCGCGGCGGTCATTACGGCACGACCAGCCTGGAGCAACGTTCGAGAAGCCCGAGTCCGGGGGGTCGTTCGCATCATCATCATCATCATCGCCATCATCCGCATCAACACAGCTACCCGGTGCTGGTTGCGAGGAGGGGCCAGGGTCGCCGGCTGCCGCCGACGCCGAACAAGCCGTCGACCCTGCAGCTGAAGCCGGCGAACATCAACTTTCCCAAGCTGAATGCCTCGCCGACCCACGGCTTGCATGGCCCGATGGCACCTGGCGGACCGGCCCATGTACCCGTGGTTCCTGTGCCAGGCCACGTGCTGCAGCATCCGCATCCGCCGTCGCACATAGTGCCCTCCAGCATGCAGGCGAGCCATCACCCATTGAGCTTCGAACAGGCTGTCGCCATGGGCCGTGGTGGTCGTTTACTGCCCAGCCCGGTCCCCAATGGCTACAAGCCGCAACCGCAATCTAAACAAAGAACGCCTAGGTAAGTAGTTCTTGTCCCTTTGGTTCAGAATTTATTTTCTGTTATTAAAATTGACCGATTAAATATAATTCTAACCATTATTTATTTCTTTTAAAATTCTTTTTTTTTTTGACGTTCTGGAAAACATTTTTTTATTAATTTAAAATTATTATTAACCGTACTTAATAACGTGTCTCAACCTTCTTGTCTTTATATTGCTATAAAAATTATAATAACGAGTCGTAATCAGACGACAAACTTTTCTGAGCAGATCGAGGCACTCGGACAGTGACGAGGACGATTGGTGCTAGCCAAAGTGGGACCCTGGACGGTGGTCCGGTGACGTGGACGCCCCCAGGCGTCTTAGGGTTTGCGCATGATAGTCGTCCACGTGGGACGCGTTGAATTTCAGTATGAAGAGTAGCAGCCAAAAAAGAACCGCGATCGACGAGCCCGAGATCAATTTTTTTAAGCCACGACCGGCCGAAGACAGTTCTACGAAGGAGCAATTCCGGTTCACAGCATCGCGGCATATTGGCGACCGAAAGGGGTCTAAGAAAATTGAACGGAGAAGATGGTTCGAAGCGGACCGATATTCGGACCGCTCTCTCTCTCTCTCTCTCTCTCTCTCTCTCTCGTTGTCTTTTATCAGCCTGAAATTTTATTCTACGAACACAGCATCTTTATACCTACTCTATCACCATATACCACCGATATACCTTCATTCTTGATGTTATATTTCTCCATTATAATTATTATTAATTAATTATCTCCAACCGGCTTGGTGATATATTTAGCCTTTTGTTTCAGAATTTACTATGAAAACACAATATATGTATACAAAATATTTTCGACGACCGAACAGGGTCAGCAAATACACACAAGAAATAATCGATTTTTCGCGAATACAAGAGAAATCGACCAGCGAAATCTCATTCGCACGACGATGTCGCACGAGTCCGCGGACGGGGAGGAGTGCGATGCGTGCGATTCCACGAACGATCGAGATGAAATCAAACGGCTGAGCTCGACATCGAGGACGCTCGGACATTAGTGCGAACGACGGTCGGCAAAGCTAAGATCGATCTCTCGAGCGATAGCTACGTTGAGAGACACGATGGTGGTGGGTTGCAGTGAAACTCGTCGTGCGCGACAGTGATAGAAAAATTTAGCGGACGTTCCGAGAGCTCGAACCCTCCGATTGTATGCGAGTTAATATTTCAATCTTCCCTCGTCTCGATCGAGCGAAGATCGTCGGGGAAGACTCACTTTTTATACGTATTTCCGAAGGAGGGACTCATCGAACGCCCGGATGCGCTGTGATCACCACGTGAAATGTTCTCTTATATGAGTGTGTATGTTTATGTATGTATGTACGCGTACGCGTATGATTTTGTGCTTGTGTGTGCGTATGAAACCTCCTTCCCCTACAGTACGACGTTGAAAATCGCGACTGATGTATTAAGTCGTTCCACTTCCGTGAGAATACGGGGATAATTGCAACGTTAATTTTTCAACGACGACGTTAATATTAAAGGGACACCGATCGAGGGAGATTGAAGCGAATGAATGGAACGACGATGCAGGCCAGATAGGGTCTGCAGTAGAATCGTCATTTTCAGTTTTACATAATTTGAGGCTGATTAGATAGACGGTTAAATCAATATTAAAACAATCCGAAACGGCGAAATTTGAAAATGTTTTGTGCTCGCTGTAAAAAATATCGTCGGAAAATTTCACTGCGCAAACGGAATGGACTAACGAGCAGAAGCGAGTGTTTCTCGACGAATCGAGTGAGAAAACAATGACAAAAGAATTGATAGGATTAGAAATTAGATCAAAGATCATAAAGGAGAAAATTTTAATTATTCCTTTCGTACTCACATTGGCTACATTCTGCCATTAGCAAAATCGCGCGAGCGACGTTCTAATCAAATGCGAATAATCAGAAATCGGTTCGCCGAGAGACGCGCAAGAACCGCCGTTACGAGATATTGATATCGACACGAATATTCGTAGTCGCGGTTCTTGTCAAATTGCACGCGAGACGATCGTAGCCATTGTAAAATAAACAAAGGCGAAAAAAAAGATCAATGCGAACGTCGTCGTTGATTCGTGCGGATGTTGCTTCGCGATTCGTGCCAATCAAGAGAGATTAAGGGAAAATTCAAGTAAAAAGGACCACGATCGAGGACGCGCACTCGGGGTGAGAAAAACGAACGATCATCGCGAAATGTCAAGGGGGGAAGATGCGTAAAAGAAGAAGAGAGAAAGAAAATGGGCGACACACACGGAGAGAGAAAACAGTTCTTACCACACGGTTTTCACACACACACACACACACACACACACATACACATACACACAATACACACACAAAAGCACTTGTAAATTACTGCATATATATATAATTGAATTACAATACTTATTACTATCACTGCTAATACCGTTATTAAACTAACACCTACAGAAAGGGAAGGAAAAACAGCTCCACTCTCCACTACTATTACTATTACTACTAACTACTAACTCTACTGCTATTACCATTACTACTGTATTACCATTTACTACCGCTACTACCACTACTACTACTGTCTTACTACTATTATTGCTGCTGCTACTATCATTACTACTATTACTACTATTACTACTTACCATAACTAAACTATTCTACTACCGTCGCTAAATAACGCTGTTTATTATCATTACTGTAATACTGTAAGTGTGCTAATTACCAAAGCGCGCGCGCGACTCGTAAGAAAAGAACGATAGTTCTTTGAAATATCAGTTTACGTAATTAATTTATTCTCAAACTCGAGAGAACTTCACCGTCGTTTCGAATGTGCATTTAAACGACGGATGATAGAACAAATAAAGAAAAAGGGAGAGAAATCGAGAAAATTATCCGTAAACAAAAGCTTGCTAAACGAGCGCACGTATCCGAATCGAGATTACATATATGATAAAGAGAAGAAAAAAAAACTCACTATACATTATACATATAAAAAAAAAGACACGTTTAACATACTGCCAATCGTACGGGGTGTTTTAAGCGGAAACACATACGAGAATATATAGGTGTACATAAACGTACGTTCTTTTTTTCCTGCGACACATATAAATACATTACGATATACTGTACGGTAGGTAAGTGTACATACCCGTTGAGTGAAAGAGAAGGAGAAAAAGCGAGAGAATAAAAAAAAATGAATGAATGTGGATGCAAGTAATTGAATCGACAAATGTGAGAAGCGAAACAACTCGGTCGATGCGATAATTAAATCACGATCGAACCGCGATTTATTTCGCAAAATATATTTCATTTTTATTTATCTATATTTGTTTCTATCGGTTTCTATTTTTTTTTTTTTTTTTTTTTTTTTATTTAGATATTAAAGTTGAGTATAATATATGATATTTTAGAAAGAAATGTGAGAGAAAAAGTTGAGCCGATTTACTTCGTTTCTCAAATCAACGATTCGATTGATTTCCAACGCTGCTCTATGCTTGTTTGCGTAATTATCGTGTATTGGTTAAGTCAAAATAAACGAGAATATTGCCATTACGTAACGACATTAATTAATGTAAGTAGCTAATTCGAGAGAGAATGTGTGCGTGAGGGAAAACTGAAGAGGAGAGAAAAAAAAAATGGAATAAAAAAAAAAGAAAGCAAGAGCGATTGATTTTTTCCAGCGTAATCAGTATACAAAGATCCTTGGTGAATGGACGGGCGTTAACCATCGAACTTGTTTGTATCATCCAACGATTAAGAATTCTACAAAATACATAATAAGATCAATTTTTCCAAAGAGAAGACTACAGACTTACCCAATCGCTTTATATTGTCTAATAGTATAATGTAAAATAATAAAAATTAATAATAAAAAGATAATTCAAAAGAAGTTGGGATAATTAGTAATTAATATCTTCAATGACATAATTATATTTACAGGTCCAAGATAATTAAATTTAAATCAGAATCAATGCTGAAATGATATAAAAATGTTATTTTGAAAGGACGAGAAAAAGAGGATCACCGAGGATCTCGTGAACGCATCTCTAGAAACTCTTAATCAGAGTCGCATGATTTCTTACTTTAAAAATTTAATTGTATCGCGTATATGAACGTTACAATATAAACGGATTATTTAATCATATTTAGTGAGAATGAGTACGATATATATACTATTATACGGGAAAAGGAACGTTATCAATCGATTCGCTAATATTGGTCCAGAATCGTCTTAATTAAAAAATTTTTTTCACATCCTTCTTTTTTACAAAAATATAAAATAGGAGGAAAATAATCAAATTTTTATTTATATATCTAAAAAAATTAGAATAAACAAGCTTAAAAATGCAATTTGTTTAAAGAAAGCGAATATTTTCAACCGGTATTGGCGAATGTCACAAGGCAAACAGCAATTGGCAATGATTCATTGAGAGATTCATAAAATCGTAGAAGATTCAACGATTACGATGCGCGCGCGTGTGTGTGCGTGTGTACGCGTGAGTAAGATTAAATACTCATAAAAATGTTTTTCTGTGATAAATCCGAAAAGTTTTAGCCGGTCCGACGATATAGTCGCGTCGATAGGCGATTTTTAAAATACGTTTATACAATTGGACAGAAAGAAAAAGAGCCGCATTTACAACTTTATGCAGTGCTGTAGTTAGCGCAAAAAATATCGTCTAATCTTCTTTTTTTTGTAAATTACAAATGTTTTCTTATTGTTAGTGTGAAATAAAATAATCATACATCAAATTTAATTATCCGATTCTAATTTTTTTTTTGTAGATAAACATGGAATTGCACATAAAAAATGGGCTAATATAAATAAATAAATAAAATAATACTAAATATAAGATGTAAATGCGACTTGCAAAGAAAATACGTGAGAAAATCGATATAAATATATGGTATATAAAAGAGATGGAAAAAATGCGAAATAGGGAAGATATAGAAAAGATGAAGAAAAGAGAGGATGCAAAATGTGCGCGTACAATGCATGCCACTTAATATACACGTTGATAGAGTGTCATACATGCGTGAAAAGATAATCGAGAAATATTCAAGCTTGCAAATTTTCTAGTATCGCAAAAGAAAAAGCAGATGACCAAGCTTGCAAGCATGAAATAACGCAAACGTAATTCGAAACAAATATTAATTACGTAAATACATTTTAAAAGAGCTATTTAAAGATAAACGTGAGAACTTTAACGAAATCATTGTTGAATTATGATTAAATAACAATAATACTGTGTTAATACATTAATATATAACGTTAACGATTATATTCATAAAACTAATTATTGTAATAATAATGATAGTAATAATATATTGCAATAATAATAAGCATAACAATAATGACTGTTGCGACTTGTCTGATGGTATCTAAACCTTACGGGCTGATAACGAAAAATTCTTTTTAGGAACGTGACAAGATATATAATCCCGCGAGATAATTATCATCTCATTGTCTGATACGAGAGGAAAAGTGTTAGGCCAGAATTATAAGAAATACCTAAAATAATAGTGCTATTAGTACAATGTCCAAACTCGTCTCGACGCGACTCAGCGATCTTCGAAGGCATCGCGAT